TTTTAATTAATTAATTTTTTTATTACAAGATAAAGACAGCTCATTTTAAATTTTAAATTTCAGTCTCCAGTAAATTTTTTACTTGTATATTTCAATGAAATTTTTTTTTTTATTTTTGTCAATAGTCCTTAAATTGAGTTTTCATTCTTTTTGCAGTGATTTAAAAATTTTATCTGCAAAATTTAGTTGTAATCTTTCATTTCAATTCTAGAATTTTATTCATTTTTATTGTTCAATTTTTGGGCCTTATTTTTTCCGTTTTTCTTTGCCTTATGTCTCACAACCGTCAAGTGTACTTTGTGAATGTCGACCTCAAAACCCTTCGGGCTATTGCTGCCCTGTCACATCCCAATTCCCTTACGACTGAAAACAAAAAACCTACCCCGAAAAAATGTGTTTTTTCTAAAACAGCTTGTATCTAATTTGTTAAATGCTGCGAAATGTTTTAAGTTCAATTAATTCCTAAGATCCTAATTTACTTATTAACTAGCCGAGGGGGTCGGGCACTAGAATCTGTCCTCCTGTTGACTCCAGCCACAATATCATGCACGCAGAATGCTACTTCCGGGCGATGGCGACTTGTTCAAGTATTTTTTTCCTTCCCAGGGGACGCTTTGAGAAAATTTTTCTTGCAACGATTATGCCATCTTTTGCTGACCCAAGCCGGCAGAAAGACTTTTGGGGCAGTGTGCTCCTTGAGTGTTTGTTGTCCCTTGTTTTTTCAATTGTGATCCCACCCCTAGTTGACAGAATCATGCATTGAAAGAAGTTATTTCTCGAGTAACTTCCACTTGTTAAAGTTTGTAAGTGTAGTTTCTTTATAGTTAAAACCCTCGTGTCACTGGGGCGACCAGAATATCGCATTGTTCACCGTTTTCATTTTCTTTTCTCCTGTGCTTGCAGTTTGAATAGTAATTCGTTCCCTTGCTCATTTTGCGTGTTAAGCTTTAATTTTTTCAAGGGGGGGGAGTCCCCCCTCCACCGAGTTTTTTTCATTCCCCATAAGAAAGAACCGACCCCTTGGTTCTGGTATAGTTTCCTGCCCGGGAAGATCTTATTCGACGTAAAACCACCAGCACCCATCAGTGACTTTCTCATAAAACCAAAAATTTACTGTATCAACACCGATTTACTCCAAGCAAAGATAAAACCATTAGTAATTCCACATCCTAGTAAAAATGGGCCCCTTGCAGCTATTACGATGTACCAGGTGTTGCACACCCTGGTATGGATGTTCAGTAAAACAAGCCAGTTTTGAAATACTTTTCCTCGTTGCAACTGATTTTCTGATTGTTAGGAAATGTAGTGTCTGAGCAACAAAAGGCAAAGCAATGGCCTAAACCAATCCAAAATGTATCCAACTACTAGCGAAACCCTTTGGGAAGATCCTAGATTGTTAACTAATTTTTTTCCAAAGTTTCCCTCCAAGAACAAACACTTGGTTTTGGAAAACCCTTTTTACCCAAAATTTTGAGTTAGTTCCTATTCAGATAAGACTGCCGAACAGTAGCTAAAGCGTTTTAAAAAAACGCATTTCTGCAGGGAACCACCCTAAGCCAGTAACAATAAAGGAGGTGAATTTTGTAAGAAATTCTTGAAAATTTGTGTACCTTGTACAAATCATAAATCCCCATTGTTCCTCATCATCCGCCAGCAATGGGTTAGCGGAACGAACCAATAAGAAAGACTTGAGTCTTAGAGCCACTATCAATCCCAATAGTGAAACTTTTGGGGAATTTTTTACCTGATGTCAGTGTGTATAAATTCTGCTTACAATGTTTCATAGGTGACACTCCTCATTTTGCATTGTATGGTGTAGACAAACGTTTTTCTTAGAGTTTTTTTATTCTAAACCAAACCAAAATTTCAACCGATGATTTCGAACAAAAATCGTAAACCCGCTTAGCTCAAAGTTTTTTAGAAGAATCCGTGAAACACTTCAAAAACAACAGCTGAATTTACAAATCCCCAAATACCGGTAAAGCCATCCAAAATCAAAGTAGGTTCGAGAGATGCTGACTAACTTTAAAAAAAACGTCGCAATCCAAAGCTTGATCAAAGGTTTTGGTCCTTTCGAGTAGTTGAACAATCACTGGGAAAAGTATAAGTTAAGGATTAGTCTGGGCATAAAAGAACCATTTGGATATATGAAGTTTGTAGTGATGATAAAAGATGTTCCCCCAAAATGTGACAACTCTGCAATCCCCGATCCTGTACCTCTTCTCTAACTCATCAGAAAATCAACCCGAATTCTTATTTTCCCACGTACACACATATTAGAAATCCCAAGTACATTTGTAACTTCCAATTTAATTCGCCTCAAAAACAGCAGAGTTACCATGCTCAGAGTTTGATCCTCACAGAATGACACCCCTTCTGATATGCCAACTTACCCTACAAGTTGGGGGTTAAAAAGTAAATACCTGTTAGTGAATAAACAGTATCAACTATCTATTCAAAAATTTTTTTTTTTTTTTTTCAGTTCCTCCGCATTCTGGAAATTAACAGTCAATTTTTTCGTGCCCCAATCTGCCTTTCTTTTTAAAAACTCTTTCTTTGTATATATTCCTTCCTCAAATCCGAGATCACAGAAACAGATCGATCGATCAAATTTTTTTTTTTTTATCACTTTAATCTCAACGAGAGTCGTTGTTCATTTGTTGAGTTTTAAGTTGTACATCGTAACCGTATTGCAACAGTTTCTTACTAAGCTTTTTTTTCCAATGTTCACTATTTTCTATAATGTTTCATGTTTGGGGACTTTGACATTGGATAAATCAGCCCAAGCCGATACCTGCCATCTCTAGTTTTTTATTTTTGTATGTCGAACGACATACTTTGCGTCGCCGACTCTCAGATAGTAACCATTCCAGCTCATATAACCAGTTACCTAACCGTCCTTGAATCACACCAAACCGTCGATCCGGACTTCATATTGTGCGACCTCAGCATATTCAAAAACCCACTACGGGACTGGGGACCCGGCAGCATATATCGAGTATACAAGGGGATAGGAACGGGTGGCAGGTCTCTCTCCACATATCGCCAATATACGTATAACAGCCTACGTGAGTATTTCTACCCTAATCCACGTATCGAACTCCCACATGATAAATGACGCTGGTAATGTTAGTGGAGTGTTGTAGGCTCCGTCCTGGTAATGTTAGTGTAGTGTTGTAGGCTCCGTCCTGGGAATGTTAGTGTAGTGCTGTAGGCTCCGTCCTGGTAATGTTAGTGGAGTGTTGTAGGCTCCGTCCTGGTAATGTTAGTGTAGTGTTGTAGGCTCCGTCCTGGGAATGTTAGTGTAGTGCTGTAGGCTCCGCCCTGGTAATGTTAGTGTAGTGTTGTAGGCTCCGTCCTGGTAATGTTAGTGTAGTGTTGTAGGCTCCGTCCTGGAATGTTAGTGTAGTGCTGTAGGCTCCGTCCTGGTAATGTTAGTGGAGTGTTGTAGGCTCCGTCCTGGTAATGTTAGTGTAGTGTTGTAGGCTCCGTCCTGGGAATGTTAGTGTAGTGCTGTAGGCTCCGCCCTGGTAATGTTAGTGTAGTGTTGTAGGCTCCGTCCTGGTAATGTTAGTGTAGTGTTGTGGGCTCTGTCCTGGGAATGTTAGTGGAGTGTTGTAGGCTCCGTCCTGGTAATGTTAGTGTAGTGTTGTAGGCTCCGTCCTGGTAATGTTAGTGTAGTGTTGTAGGCTCCGTCCTGGGAATGTTAGTGTAGTGCTGTAGGCTCCGTCTGGTAATGTTAGTGGAGTGTTGTAGGCTCCGTCCTGGTAATGTTAGTGTAGTGTTGTAGGCTCCGTCCTGGTAATGTTAGTGTAGTGTTGTAGGCTCCGTCCTGGTAATGTTAGTGTAGTGTTGTAGGCTCCGTCCTGGTAATGTTAGTGTAGTGTTGTGGGCTCTGTCCTGGGAATGTTAGTGGCGTGTTGTGGGATCCGTCCTGGGAATGTTAGTGTAGTGTTGTGGGCTCTGTCCTGGGAATGTTAGTGGAGTGTTGTGGGCTCCGTCCTGGGGATGTTAGTGGAGTGTTGTAGGCTCCGTCCTGGGAATGTTAGTGGAGTGTTGTGGGCTCCGTCCTGGGGATGTTAGTGGAGTGTTGTAGGCTCTGTCCTGGGAATGTTAGTGGAGTGTTGTGGGCTCTGTCCTGGTAATGTTAGTGGAGTGTTGTGGGCTCCGTCCTGGTAATGTTAGTGGAGTGTTGTGGGCTCCGTCCTGGTAATGTTAGTGGAGTGTTGTGGGCTCCGTCCTGGTAATGTTAGTGTAGTGTTGTAGGCTCCGTCCTGGTAATGTTAGTGTAGTGTTGTGGGCTCCGTCCTGGTAATGTTAGTGTAGTGTTTTAGGCTCCGTCCTGGTAATGTTAGTGTAGTGTTTTAGGCTCCGTCCTGGTAATGTTAGTGTAGTGTTTTAGGCTCCGTCCTGGTAATGTTAGTGGAGTGTTGTAGGCTCCGTCCTGGTAATGTTAGTGGAGTGTTGTAGGCTCCGTCCTGGTAATGTTAGTGGAGTGTTGTAGGCTCCGTCCTGGTAATGTTAGTGTAGTGCTGTAGGCTCCGTCCTGGTAATTTTAGTGTAGTGTTGTAGGCTCCGTCCTGGTAATGTTAGTGTAGTGTTGTAGGCTCCGTCCTGGTAATGTTAGTGTAGTGTTGTAGGCTCCGTCCTGGTAATGTTAGTGGAGTGTTGTAGGCTCCGTCCTGGTAATGTTAGTGGAGTGTTGTAGGCTCCGTCCTGGTAATGTTAGTGTAGTGTTGTAGGCTCCGTCCTGGTAATGTTAGTGTAGTGTTGTAGGCTCCGTCCTGGTAAAAATGGCAGTGTTTACTGCAATTATTCATGTGTCGACTACACTGTATATATACACTGTTGTTAACTAAAAAAAAAAAATCTGTCTTGGAGCACTGACAGCGTCAGATTTACCGACTAATGGCCCATAAGGATTTAGAATTTTGTGTGACTATGATAACAATAATAATAATAATTTGTGCGATATTAATGGAAATGTTTGTGTGTTTCAGAGTTACTTCGCTACTGACTACGACCCCACGATAGAAGACTCGTATACCAAGCAGTGTGTTATTGACGATGTGGTGGCCAAGCTGGACAGTAAGTGTTGTGTGATGTATTTTTCTTGCTTGTGTTCCGGGAAGTACAGCCTGAGGAACTTAATTTTTTTTTTTTAGATAATTTAAGCTTCTGACTGAACAGGTGTAATCAGTGAAAGTTGTCTGAAGAGTCTTCAGTTTGGGAATTTAATATTCCTTAAATGGGGCTATTAGCATACAGTAATATTTCTGTCTAGAGAGTGTTAGTGCTTTCAAGACTACCATTGGCTTGACATTACTTGAAGGTAGAAGGTATATTGATACCGACAGCATGAATAAAAACCTGTAGCTACGTGTACTTAGGATATTTTAATTTGATATGTTTCGGTCCTAGGACCAAGGTCCCAAGACCGGTACGTATGCAGTGTACCTGGAGGGCATTTCGGAGGTCAACGCCCCCCGCGGCCCGGTCCACGATCAGGCCTCCCGGTGGATCAGGACCTGATCAACGAGGCTGTTTCCAATGTACGAACCACAGCTCGGCTGATCTGGCACCGACTTGAGGTATCTGTTCAGCTTCCTCTTGAAGACAACCAGGGGTTTATTGGGAATGCCCTTATGGCTGGTGGGCCCCTTATGGTCTTGGGCCCCAGACACTTATTGTGTTTTCTCTTAGTGTACCAGTGACGCCCCTGCTTTTCACTGGGGGTATGTTGCATCGCTTGCCAAGTATTTTGCTTTCGTAGGGAGTGATTGCTGTGTGCAGATTAGGAACCAGTCCCTCCAGAATCTTCCAGGTGTAGATTATGATATATATATCTCGCCTGCGCTCTAGTGAGTACAAGTCAAGGGCTTCCAGGCGCTCCCAGTAGTTAAGGTGTTTGATGTACATTCTCTAGATCGGCAATTTCACCTGCCTTGAATGGGGATGTTAATGAACAGCAGTATTCCTGCTTAGAGAGAAAAAGTGATTTAAAATGGATCATCATTGGCTTAGCATCTCTTGTCTTGAATGTTCTCATTATCCATCCTATCAGTTTCCTCGCAGATGTGATAGTGACATTGTTGTGGTCCTTGAATTTGAGGTCTTCGGACATTACCACACCCAGGTCCTTCACATTACATTCCGCTCTATTGAGTTTGTAGTATACTCGGTCCTAGTTATTATTTCCTCCAGTTTTCCATAACGGAGTAATTAGAATTTGTCTTCACTGAACATCATATTGTTCTCTGTTGCCCATTGGAAAACTTGGTTTATATCTTCTTGGAGCTTTGCCGTGTCCTCAATGGATGACACTCTCATGCAGATCCTAGTATCGTCTGCAGAGGATGATACAGCGCTGTGGTTTACATCTCTGTCTATGTCTGATATGAGAATAAGGAACAGGATAGGGGCGAGTACTGTGCCTTGTGGAACAGAGCTCTTCACTATGGCTCCTTCCGATTTAACTCCGTTTACCACTACAATTTGTGTTCGATTGGTTAGAAAGTTGAAGGTCCATCTGCCTAATTTGCCAGTTATCCCCTGAGCACGCATTTTCTATGGTATTATACCATGATCACACGTCTCAAAGGCTTTTGCAAAATCTGTGTATACTGCCTCTGTGGGCACCAGCTCCCTTGCAGTGCTCCCCTTCTTTGTATTTGACTGGGTCTTCCTCCTTATTCCCCACTACTACTACTACTACTACTACTACTACTACTACTACTACTACTACTACTACTACTACTACTACTACTACTACTACTACTACATTTCCACCACCACCTCTTCCTGCCTATATATAGCCGTCCTGCTCCACTTCTGGTTAGTGTGACTTTGTAAATGGTCCAAGTCGGACCGAAACGTCGTCGTAAGCTTCTCTTTTATGTGCGGGTTATTTGTGTATCTGGATTCTGTTTGTTTTCCAGTGCATCTAAGACCATATCATTGTGGTCCAGTAGTTGCGAGAGGCAGGAGCGACCTGCCCTGAAACCATGCTGCCCTGGGTTGTGCAATTTTTGAGAGTCCAGGTGGTTTGCTATCCTGCTTCTTAGAACTCTTTCAAAGATTTTTGTGATGTGGGACGTTAAAGCTATTGGTCTATAGTTCTTAGCTACTGCTTTGCTGCCACATTTATGGAGTGGGGCTATATCTGTTGTTTTAAGTGACTGTGGAATCTCGCCTGTGTCTAAGCGCCTACTCCATAGCATACTTAGGGCCCGTGAGATGTGTTTCTTGCAGTTCTTAATGAACACAGAGTTCCACGAGTCTGGGCCTGGGGCTGAGTGCATGGGCATGTCGTCGATGGCTTTCTCAAAGTCTAGTAGAGTTAGGGTTATTTCAGATATCTGGCATACATTGACAGGGTTTTGAAGCTCGTTCATGAAAATTTGTTTGGATTGTCTGTCTGTAGACTGATTAGTGGCTCGCTGAACACAGTCATATTGAGATTTCAGTATCTCACTCATTTCTTCGTTGTCATCTGTGTAGGATCTGTCTTGCCTGAGCAAGGACTCTATACTAGAAGTGGTTTTTGCCTTTTTTTTGGCATATGGAAAGAAATATTTGGAATTTCTTTGAATTTCACTAATCGCTTTTAGCTTCTCTTCTCTCTCCTGGATCCTGTATGAGTCCTTTAACTTTAGCTCGGTATTTTCCACTTTCCTGGTTAGCGCTTCCTTCCGTGTTTCAGATAATCTGGCAAATTTTTGAGGAGCTCAGTGATTCTTCTTCTCCTGTAGAGGGAGCGTCTCTCTCTCTCCACTTTACTACTTCTCTTCTTTTTTTCCTAGGGGAATATGCCTTGAACATACTGTAGCTACCAGGAAGTTGATCTTTCCAAGGTACTGGTTAGGATCCATGTAATTTAAGATATCTTCCCAACATGTTTCATTTAGGACATAGTTAACCTGGTCCCAGTTGATGTTCTTGTTGTTAAAGTTGAATTTGGTAAAGGTACCCTCATAACTGTATGCATTTTGCTGATCAAGACTCCTGTGCATGTAAGTCTGGACTTCGTTTAGATTGTGATCAGAATTAGTTGTTTTTGATTTTGTTATGTTTCTTACCAGGTCCTTATTATTTGTGAAAATAAGATCTAGTGTATTCTCCAGTCTTGTTGGCTCCACTATCTGCTGACTTAGGATGCCCTAAGTAATGTTCCTATCGAAGGCAACATATCCCAGTGAAGAGCAGGGGTGTCATGAGTACAATAAAAGAAAGCACAGTAAGTGTTCGGGGCCCAAGACTGTTCAACAGCCTCCCATCATAAATAAGTCGAATTACCAATAGACCCCTGGCTGTCTTCAAAAGGGAACTGGACAGGTACCTACAGTCAGTGCCTGATCAGTCGGGCTATGGTTCGTACGTTGGATTGTGTTCGGTTAGTAGTATTAACAGCCTGTTTGATCAGGCCATGATCCACCGGGAGGCCTGGTCGAGGATCGGGCCGCGGGGGTGTTCACCTCCGGAACAACCTCCAGGTAGGTAGACAGCTGAGTAATTAACATTGCTTTGTATGAACATCGTATTGTTTTCTGTGGTCTACGTCGGAATGTAGATTTTTGGTGTTCTCAGTGGTTGCCACTCCAAATTCTAGCATCATCTGCAAAGGATGATAATGCTGATTCGTGGTAGAAGTAAGGTTCACAAACAATTTTAAACGTTGGCATGATAGGCCCCAAGAGGCCTGTCGACGAAGGTTAGAAAGACAGGGCCAAGAGTCAAAACTCAACCCCAGCATACACACAACGGTGAGAGGCAGTCGATGTGTGTATTTGTCATTATATGTACGAGGACCAGATAGTGACTGACGGTGAACGGTTGTGATGGTCCTGGGCAGTGGGAACCCACTGGCTTATCCTCAAGGTCCCTCCGTCCCTTCCCTGATAACACTCGTGGAGCCATCTCTCTCACAGCTTCCCCTCACACTCTCTCACTGTCTCCTTACTATTCTTCCTCCCAGCCTCCCTTACAGCTTCACCCACTCTTAGTCTCCTGCACAACCTCTCTCTCACCCTCACAGCCCCCATCCCCCATCATCCCCACACACGGCTTTCTTTAGTCTCTTACACATCCAGTCGCTGTCTTTGTATACTGCTGTTTCTGTCTCCTGGCTCTCTGCCAACTCAACATCTTGCCATTCTTATTCCCTACTCTTCCTAGTGTTAAAACCTCTTGTACACGAAATATTGCAATAATAGGTCTGTGTTTGTTATAGTCTGTCTCTTCCCCCCTTCCTCATTTTTTTAACAATATTCAACATTCTGATGTCTGTTTTGTCTTTTAAATTTGTCTCTTGTATCCTGTTACTTGCTACAGGGAATCTACACTTGACTAACTTGTAGGCATGACCCACTTCCACCTGTGGATTTGTCCAAGGTGACTCCGCCTACGACTGCTTCACCTCACCCGTCTTCAGTACAAGTCCCTTCGCACATATCCTGTATTCTTTTCAAGATTGATGGACTGATTACCTGAAACCCCTTCTGATCTTCGCGTCTCTTCTTTGTATTGGACTGTGCAAGAAAGTCATGAAATACCGACAATATGAAAGTTAAGAGGCATGTGCAACATCTGATTATCTTTATTATAGACGTTTCGCCAACCAGTGACTTTATCAATACAGATTCTGTATTGATAAAGCCACTGGATGGCGAAACGTCTACAGTGAAGATAACCAGATGTTGCACACGTGTCATAACTTTTGTATTGGACTGATGAAGCCACTGTGTGGAGGAAACATTTCCTTCATAAAGATACCCAGTGTTACACACGTGTCTAATGTATCACCCTGAGTGTTCCATGTTGTGTTGCTGGTGTTTTATACTCCGTACTACATAAAATTTGTCCTGGCCGAATTTACAGTGTTCTTGCTACCTATCTTTAAGACTCGGCGGCCTGCAGCGCAGCTCATTTGTGGCGGCCTGCAGCGCCACTCAGTTGTGGCGGCCTGCAGCGCCACTCAGTTGTAACAGTAGATAGTGGTCCGCTTTCCTTTTGAAGCCTATTCTCTTTCACATATCCATTCACATATTCTCTCACATATGTGAGAGAGATGTAATATGAGATATGCGGGC